GGTATTCTAGATGTTCTTGGTATTCTGTTGGTGTAATCTTGTTCAAATGTATTTGAATTTTTAAGGAAAAAGCAGGCAGACTGGAAAGATCGTGCCGAGAAGCTTGAGGCAGAGTTACTAAGGACAAGACAGGAGCTAACTGTAGCTCATCTGCGAGTGATGAGCTCAGACCATGAGCAAGAGGAATATCTTGAATGGGATGTTGAAGAGTTAGACTCCATGCAAGGCAACCCCAGGACAGAACCATCTGCTGTTGGCCCTGAACTAACCTACCCGACACCCCCTTCATCCATTCCGATGGAGCACCCACCTTGCAGCAACCTTGAGAATTTGCTTCAATCAAACACTCAGTTTCTGCACAGTATGATGAGAATCAGATCACTGTCTGATACGATGGAGCATGCTGGATCCCTACCCGTGGATACACAGCACATAATAAAGGACTCTTCTCTAAGAGCCATGGAGTGCCTCATCCATTATATATCTAGACATTTGCGTGATGCAAGTTTACCGTGGAAACTGATGAATGATGCGGTGAGTGGTGTTGCAAGGGTGCTGGAGTGTTGCACAGTGGAGAGGATCCATCAGGAGATTGTCAGAGGAACTCTGGGACTTGCCGAAGAGTTACTTCAGTTGGTGTTACAAAACCAACATCTTGATGATGTGAGTACTAAGCAACTACATGGGGGGGAGGAATTGTTCATTCATCGGAATCATGGCTAAATCTATTGTACATTTACACGTATACAGGGCTGGATAGTAGACATATTCAGCACTGTGCCTAGAACTTGCAAAGGAATTTGAGCCCTATAAACTTTGAGGGCCAACGAAAATGCCAGAGATGAATCATAAAATGCAAACGCAAGCATTCGCAAACGCAAAAATAGTTGCAGCATTTATTTTTCTCTGAATTTGAAACTACATAGCTTATACTCCAGCTCAACATCAACATGAAATGCTTGCTCAACCACAAACAAGCACTGTGACATTGATGCTTGTCCTAAGAATGACGGTCGTGTGGAATCCCACCGGTACACGTGTATTAGCTTTAAATGTTCAATACACCAATGACATTTATTTATGTCTTTATTTATTGTTAGAGACCCTTAATTATAAAAATAATCCTTATTTTTTTTTATCAGCATCTCACTCAGCGTCAACTCTGCTGCCTCCTTGTGTCTTTGGCAACTCCAGCAAACCTTGCGCCCCTTATCCTCCAAAGAGTTCTTAATCACATCCAAGCTGTTGCTTCTATGCTCCGTCAGTCACTCAGGAGCACCGGTTTTAATCCCACCCTGTATGAGAATAGTTTCTACCTACTCGCAATAATGGACGATATTCTGCTGTCTTTAAGGACTGTACCATCTGTGCACAACAGAGGAGACAAGATGCAGAGGGCATCGTCAGAAATGATGGACATACTAGAAGGGTGTTTGTTGCATATTTCTGATGATTTCCCTCTGTTCTGTCAACAGATATGGCGGATAGTTAGTATTCTTGAGTGGATTAGACCAAGCAAGATTGAAGGATAGGTTTTCAACACAAAGACTTCAAAGTCCTACATGTACTTGGCCTTAGTCCTGATCTAATATGATGGTACATGTATATGACAGTAATGAAGTAGTGCTTGGAAGTTGTAATAGTTGAAGAATTTAGGGATTATCTCTATCAAATACAGATGAATATTTGGTAAGGCTGAGTTGGGTCAGGTAGAGTTGGGTTGGGCTGGTTTGGTTTTTGCGTCTTTTAGGAACACTTAGGTGACACTGAATTTCAATCAGTTTATGGCTAATTTCATGGAACTTATAAGGTGCATTTGAATGCTGAGCTAAGGCAGGTTATGCCCAAATGTATAGCCCTGTGTGTTGCCTGTGGTTGGTTTGCGATCGAATTTGTTAACATATTAAAAGCAAGCTTTCTACTGTTCAGCCCGATGAAATCGGGACTTGATGATCTTATTTCACCTTGCATATGTTTGCAAGTTCACTCTGTATACATTGAAAGCGACACTTTAGTCCTATTGTGACGATTGTCAAGCATATTTGCAGTAAACAAAGGGAGCCTAAGCCTGCATTACCTGGCTTATACAGAAAAATAAATGGAGGTCAAAGACGAACATTTGTCAATTCTCAGAGCCAAATTCATGTAAAGCCAATGATTCTAGTAAATTCGTTTGTATCAGATTTCTTTGTACCATATGACGGTTATTCCTACATTTCCTGTGACGGTACAAGAAAAACGTCTCTCGAAGTAGACAGTTTATCATTTCATTTGTCCAGTCATTGTAAAAAAAGGCCAAAGTTGAGATGGCATTCAATTTAAAAGCAACTTTCCAAACGTGTGTATTGTGTCAGTAATTTTATATTGCCGCTTTAATATAATGGAAATAAATCATCTAATTATGAAATGTATACCTAATTGTTCCTTGGATTCGTAGAAATCTCCACGAGTAAACGAAACCTACTGAGGTAAGTTTTCCGCCTTCACAAAATAGTCTTCAACTCGCCATAGCTCGCCTTAGCCCAATAAATTCCGAGCAACTGTTGAACTCCGAGCCTGACTGATATTCCTTTTTATGAGAATAAGTCATTTGCAAACAAGCAGTGCACAGCAAACCACGAATCAAAATATTCATTCCGTCAATCGCATTTTGGACCGCAAGTTTGAAAAAAAATCGTTGTACATGTATATCTTGGAAATATGAAAGGGCTGCGGAGCACTGTGATCAAAATATTGACCAAAATGCATACGGTCAGTGCTCTTAATTTATCTTTTTGCCGCGCTTTCGGTAACTGGGTACCTTCGTCGGGGCAAGCAGGTTTGGTTCCGATGACTTGAGCCAGGGCTTTAGTGCTCCTTGAACACTGACTGTATATTTTGGTCAATATCGTTATATTTTTCCTTGGGTTTAAACCCAAACGCGGTCGTATGACTAGCGTTAAAATGTCATTCAAGAGAATGTGTAAATAAAATGTTACCACACTCAGATGCCACTAGAACTGAAGAACAGTGCAAAGTCTTTTCAAATGCAAATTAACGGTGCAAGGAATGACTATGGGAAATTATGACCTTAAAGCCCCGGCTTAATTTTACCCGATTTCCTGCGAGTTCTTTGTCAAATCAGCACACCGTCTAGAGTGCGCTTTGTACTCAATCATGCATGTACATGTACATTGATTGAATACGTCAAAATTTTCCACACTAATATTTTGTCCACTTTTGATTAGCATTTACTGACAGATCGAGGGGGGTTATAACCGGGCTAGAATAATCAAGTCGTCAAAACGTAGTCATTGTAGTCTTCGCTCGTGCCCATTACCCATTGGAGGGCGTATACCCCCCCCCCAATTATTTTGAAGGAAGCACGCAAAACCTTGTGCGTACGTCTCTGTAGTAATCAACTCATTTAACTGCGCGTACACTGCTTTATTTGCCCGAAAGACAAGCCCCCATTTGGGATTCTTAGATGGCTAAGCCAATCACAAGTCATCTGATCGTTTTTTATCAGCCCTTCACCCGGGCCTTTCTTTTCCTCATATTCCATCTAGACCCCCTCCCCCACTAGCGCGACTGTACTTGACATGACTTGTGATTGACCAGAGCTAAATCCCTGCTGTTGCATTTTTGCCCGCCTCACTCGATCAAATCTGAGCCTGCCGGTAACATTTTAAGAAAACTGACGAGTAAGCAATCAATCACAGAACAAACGTACACCCTTTACAAACGGAGACGGAATCATGGTGATAATATATCATTTCTGTTATCCACCTGCTCTTTAATTCTAGAATAATCTATTTCTGATCAACACTCTAATGACTTTTGTTATTCACAATGAATTATTTATAATTCTCTCACTGCATTTATACGCATATGAACATTTATACACATAGTTAATTGTTATTAACATTTTTAAAAATATTTTATCCAGTACATATCCCATTCTGCTTGGAAAACATATTTTATGAGCCCTTCTTTCTTTTGCAACAAAGTGTTTCAATTAACCTTCACATGGCAATAAGATAGTTAAGATTTTTAACACAATGCCATTGTTTGGACCAAACGAAGGTGCTGTAATTTTATACACTTGTTGATTAGCTATATAGATATCTCATAAATAACAAGCAATCGCGTTTAAACTTCTTCAAAGACAGAAATTCTGGCGTTGCTTGGCTTGAGGATGGCAGGGAACTGACAAACAGTTATTCACCCTCGGCAAAAACCAAATTTAATTTATCAAAAGAGAAATTTGGACAAATTAAAATGTAAGACAAATCCATGTGTACCGGTAATGGAGAGACAAGCTGTTTAGAAAGTTGTCCGTTCAACTGCAACATATACCTTGCAAGTTAGTTTTTCCTTATTGAAAGCAATCAGCGCTTGCAAAGTCTGGATAAATATTGTGGCCATTGTTATTTTTAGCATGGAAAATGTCAATAAATTTATAAAACTGGGATTCTAGGCAATGTACTACGCTTTGTACCAATGCAAAGGAGTATTAAGTTAAACACATTGCAGTTTTACCGATGATATAATTATTATTCTTGGACATTACAAATTAAAAATAGGATTTAGAATTATCATGAATGCTACAGTCGATGTTTTTTTCGAATACAAAGGCTGGTAGGTGTTCAGGCCAATCATTCGCTTACCATCCTGTATCCCAGGATTATTCGATATTTGGTTTCCAGAGTAAAACCTCTGTGAATAATTAGAGCCCAGGAAGAAGTATTTCGCGGATAAAGCTTTTTATTCTGAAATACACTAAAACATTTGCAACAAAAAAGAAAGCTCTTGGGGTGTAATACTCGAAGCAGCCTACAGCCTCAGATGTGCCACTAGTTTGATGGCAGTTCTACTTAATTTTGGACAACTTCAGTCGGCACTCCAAACCCCTGATATTGTTATTGACCCAGGTCCACAAGTCGGGTTCCTATTATGCATCCCCTTTAAATGAATAGGTCTGTCGCGTGACAGCACTCCTCCATCTTATTTTTACACATAACGTTGACGACTTTTCTAATCAGCATACATTTTTTCGATACAAAACATGATTTGAACGTTATTTTTGTTCAAAGAGTCACAAATGATCACAAAATACATTTACAGGCTTGCTTGCCAAAAAAACACAAACAAATAAACAAAACAAAACATTAAATGAATACGTAACTGACAGTGCACTATGCAAGCAGTTAATACTTGCTAATGGTTACACAAAGTAAAGATTTTAATGTTTATATAGTTGCACTAACTTTGGCTTCTCACATCTTTCAACTGGTGAAAATTTGCCAACCAACGCATAAAGTGATTATCTTTCTTATACCAGTTGCCTAACGACCTATTCACGTGTATTTGCAAATCGTATGATCTTTGAACAGAAATTAAAATTGACACTTTGTCCGACTTGACCTTTCTACTTTAGGAGCACAGCATGCTAACAGTTGACTTCCGTTTCATCATTGGCACTGCTTTTAACAATTCTTCTTTTACAAAAAAATCTTGTGGAATTCATATGTGGGTTAATTTTGCCTAGGACACGCTTGAGTCAAACTCCAGCTCGTTTATCACACGGTGGAATACTTTAAAAATGCAAGCCATCACTCCATGTCATCGTTGACGCCAGACGGTGCGCAATCTGGATCTGATGTTGGTAGCTCATGGTAGTCGGCAGTCGCCGCCCGGTGCTTCTTAATCTTCAAGGAGGTTGTTTGGGCTGCGCTGCAGGTGACTGATTCGTCGGTAGAATCCAACGAGCTCAGATTCTTTAGCTTCTGTTTGGGTCAAGTTAAAGTGGGTATAAAGTGGCAACCTGACTGTTTCGCTGACCAACAGAAAATCTGTTTTAATCTTTCAAACACAAATATTCTACGTAAAGGTGCCTAGAATTATTCCGCTCCATATTAAGCTCTTTAAAACAGTCTGTCGACGATGAGACGTCTGCGTTATTGGTTCGTAGTGACACGACAGCGCCTGGTTATACTTTGTTTGCGTAGACGACTTTGAGAACAGCTAATGTACTCCACATTTCCATCTCAAACATTTCACGCAAAGCTCGAAATGGCGATCAGTTGCTGCCAAACGTATCGGTTTTGCCGGTTAAACAAAGACTTGTTTATTTCATACATTTTCGATGGCAAGGTACTCCAATTTCGTTTCAACATTGCGTTGGGTTTAATTGTGAAATTGAATTTTGAATGTACTACGGATTTATTTCGTAGTGTAATAATATTTAAGCATAGAGCATTCTGCTTTCTTGTACTTTGGGGGATTTTTTCTCGTGAAGCCGTAAATGAAAAAGCACATTCGTCTCTTATCCATTCGTTTGGTGCCTTGGTCTGGCATTTTTTTCATTGGAATGATAAAAGTAATGTGAATTTCAGCATGGCATAAATGCAAGTGGTAGCTTTGTAGCTTTATTTTTTCGACAAGAAAACCACGTGTTCATTCAGAAAAAGACAACTGGGCGAATATTCTTAACTGCCGTGTAAACTTTATTGTTAAAAACGTGAGCTTTTTGCGGGAACATTAAAACTAACACTTCGATCTTCAGAAATATTCTTTGTTCTTTCGACGAACATGGCAATCAGTGAACGCGAGACACTGAAATTATCTCCCTCCTCTAGTCTTTCCCGTGGATACACTGCACATGTTGGAAAACAGATAATTAATGCAAATTCTATATCGAATGTTTAAACCCAAGGAAAACTTGGAGAGAAATTGAAGTACCTTTACATTCAACATGATATGTGGTCAACTAGCAAAAGAATATCTGTAATCCTCAAACTCTTTTCTAGCGCAACTGGTTGGGCTGAAGCAGCTATAATAATACGTACCTCTTCACAGACAGTGCCTGCAGTGGCATGGCGTGCACGGTGTAGCGGTGCGTGACAAGATCACAGTTACGGTGGGGGTAGTGCGTGTCGGGTGTGATTTGTGAAAAGGAAAGGTGCAAACAGGCGATCAGACAAACGTGTTGTACTTTTAACTTTCAAACGTAGGCACATAACAGCCTCCGCTATTTATAAAAAATTCTTTGCCGAGATATATCGTTCTCAGCATATAGCTATGGCTTTTAGTATCAAGGTCTGGCTGAGTCTTTTCACAAAATAAAAACTACATTATGAGATTTTTGTCATCAGACTATTTTGGAGTTACACAAAAAAAAAGGGAAATACGAAAGGGTAAGTGATTGGGAAGGGCTGTGAAGACAATACCTGAGCGTGTACATCAGAAAGACAATAGGCCTATAAGTGTCGGAAAAGATATTTCAATTGATCGAAATAATGGAAACGTAGTACAGTTTACAGACATATTATAAAATGCAGACGCTGGAACGGACAATTGGCTTTGTTGGTATGGATGAAGTGCGTGCACTGAGGAATATATAGCTCCTCCTCCCTACATTTAATATCTGCCACGCCCAAAACAGCTCCCACACATCACAAAGTCTTGTAACAGTGTCTTCACTAACCAACAATAGTACCTCATGTAGGCCTACCACTAAAAGACAGAGAAACACGGAAAGCATACGGGAGGTGCATTACAGCTCCTGCAAAGGAGCATTTTTTTAAAGAGAGAAAGGTGACTTTTGGACTATTTCATTTTCCGTCCCTCCAAAAGCGTAAAAAAAGCCCAACATTTAGTCCCATCCTCCGTATGGCCCAAAAAGGTTAAAGGTTGCTACCCACCTCCACAACCCCGAATAGTTGGTTCTGGACCCACCTGGGGGATCCGAACCAACGCTTAAGCTGTGCTTACATGGAGAGGATTAAATTTTGAGCGAACGAGTTTTATTGAGGGTCCCTTCCTGACCAACACTTAAAATCCAGTTACATCGGTAGCCGTCTTAATCTTAGCCTTAGCTGCTTTGTAAAACACCACTCACCTTTTGCGAGTTAAATCGCCCGTTCAGCGACCCACCGCGAGACTTGTTTGAGATAATAGACAGCCTGGTACCCGAGTTCTTGGACATGGTGGAGGTCTCGTCAACTGAGACTCCAGTGATGTAGCCTTTCTTCCGCTTCGCCTTGACGATGCCGAGAGGTGCCAAGATCTTCTGCCTGAAGAGTACAGTTGTCATGGTGTAGAGGATGGGATTGAGGGCGCTATTGATTGGGAGCACAAAGATGGCAAACCAAGCGTAGACGCTCTGCGAAACGCTGACACCTACAAAATACAAGAAGTTGACAGGAGACTTCACTGTACGTTATGTGCAGCACCATGTTCACTAACATGCCAAGCAGAGTTGAACTCAAAGTCACTGCAAGACGATCAGAATCATAAATTTCATTCGAGTCAACCGAAGCCACAATAAACGCAACGTCCGGAGGTAGAGAAATGTGTCCCCCTAACCTTTCAAGAGATGAGCCAATTGATCTGTCTCCATGTTTCGGAAGTAAAACATGAAAATGTGTATTTGCAATCATTTCAATCTTTCCATTGACTAAAATGGAGAAAAAGGGCGAAAAACTTTGATTGCACCTTTTTGATGTAATAAGAATACATAAACAGAGAAATATAAATTGAGCACCGCCCCAAATATAGTATCCACGCAACTCCTTTCGAATTTCCATGCCCAGCCATTTTTACATCGCCAGGACAAATTTACAGTTCTCTTGCGAAAAAAGCATTCCTGGGTCATCGTTAATAGAGCCTGAAAGTTGACCCCGGATGACGCGCTTCCGGGACCCTTGGATAGGAAAAATAACGTGAGAAGATTTAAGAATTTGTAACATTTTTTAGTTCAGCTCTTCTTAAAAATCCAACTTGGAAAAAGGGCTTTGAAGAGTATTTGCTAGCATATCAAGTTATAGAAACTGAAAAATTACCTGACCTAAAAGAAAAATATCCTGTCAAAAATTGACGCATCACTTCCGAAAATCTAAAATACATGAAGAACAGTGCAATGCGCCAGTCTCGTACGCAGACGAATATTTCCGGTTTGAATTTTATGGTAGTCTGTGGGTAAAGCCAAAATAAAACAGATAAAAAAATTTGCACATCTTGATAATTTATAAGATAATGAACATAAAGAAATATTCTACTTTTACGAAAGATTCTAATATTTAATCTAACCTTTGCTGACAACAACTGCGTGATGTAAACTCAACGGAATCTGGAACCCATCGACTGCAGGTAGGTAAAATCCTTGCAAGGTTGTACAATCTCGTTTTCAAGAAAGCACGGCAAACATGCAACGAGGAGGCCTGTGTACCGTATCGCTGGGCTTGAAAGGTCGTTAATAAAATTCGTTTTTTACCCATCTCCAGGTGAATTCTCCAAAACATTACTTGAGGAAGACAAAGGTAAAATTCCAACATGAGTGCCTCATGGGGTGGTTTCATCAAGGAATTATTTTTCCAAAAAATATCGAACGTGATAAGACGGCCCAATGTAAAATCCCCATAGGCAGACCACGCGCTCGGGTTCCGGAAGCTCGCTGCGTGACCTTTTACTTTCAGGCTCTATTCACACGGTTATTCGCGCCTTGGCAAATGACTGCCTTGTGATAGACTCGATTTCAACCATTGCTTTCGAAAGAATCACTGCCATTGCCGAGTGGGCTTTTGGGTTTAAAACTGGAATTTCAGAGTCACGGCCGGAATACGACGTTTTCATTAATGGGAGGGTTTAAGCGGTCAAATAATTCTGATATTTCTCATAACTGGCAATATAAATACATGTATATGCAGTAAAAATTCATATAAAATGCTTTCCTTTTTTTTAACTCAGCGCGGAATCAAGGATTCGTTTCATCTAGTAATTAAAAGTACAATGATGGAAAGATTACCTCCAAGTGCTACAAACTTAACAATTATGATAGGCATCCAGCAGACGAAGTCCGTAGCAACGATCAGCGTAAACCGCTTCACCAGCGCCCAGTCCTGATTCTTCTTAGTCGATCTCATGGCAAGGTTGGACCGCCGAATGGTCATGAACATCATAAGATAGGCGTACGAGATGAATGTGAAGGCTACGAGGTTGAACACGACGAAAATGACGAGGGAGAACTCCCATCCATCCGCGAAGGGCTGGTCGATTTGTAGGGGAAGACAAACGCCATTCCCCCCGTAATAAAATTCCCCGAAGTACGCTGTGTGTAACAGGGGAATGGTTGCCAAGGCAATGCCGAGTAACCAAAGAAACACCATAAGCAGACGAGCATGGACCAGACTTCGATTCTTAAACCGGAACGGATGGACAATGCTTAAGAAGCGATCCAACGTGATTACAGTTAGAGTCATGATGGAAACTTCGCTGGAGAGGAGACTAAGGAAGCCGCTCAACTTACACACCGAACTGTTCCTCCAAGTTAGATCGTGGAGGATGTAGGATCCCCTAAAGATGACATCATGAATTCCGATGATAAGAAGGTAGAGCCCCATGAGGAGGTCAGCCACGGCCAGATTCATAATGAAAAACGAATGTGTCTTTTTGTCCTCGTTTACAAAGCAGCGTGCAAGGAGTACGAATGCGTTGCCGAGGGACGCCAGGAGGGCAACGAACCAGACAGCGAAGCGAAGAAGAATGTTACCCAGAAGGTTCTCAGCCGTAGAGATACCGTCACTCTTGGGCATGCAAAGGCGGACATGTGGAGCATAACCGCACAAGGAGAAGTGATCGAAGTAGCTGAAGGAGGAGACAAGAAGATTAAAGATTCGTAAAATCTGTGGAATGGAGAGACCATGATAATCATTCCAAATATGATAACTTTGAAACATACAATCCTTTATAGTGTCTTTGCATTGGGCTTAACAATTGAGTTGCTTGTACCCCCATATAGTGACTTCATAGGCCTACATGTGGTTATCATCGATCGACTTTTAACTTGGAAAATGTGCAATGGCCCTATGTAACTCCGAGAAAGACTAAAGACCTTGGTGGTAACAACCGTGTATACACACGCAAATACTTACATTGCCTTCAAGCTGATTAACTGGTCAAATATGCCTACTGGCAAAGATGTAAAAGGATTTTTGGTCAATTTGCTGCAATGAAACAAAGAAAAGGAAACATTGGAACGAACACCACCAAGGCCAAAGCGACTGGTGCGAATAAGTGTTTCTTAAAAACCTCCTTTTGATTTGAGAGGAGACATTATCGGTTTCCCGTTATAAATGATCAAGGGCTGAAAGAGAAAGAATGTGATTTTTACTTTACACTGTTAGTTTGGCGGTGTTTTGCAACCAATCATAGTTCTGGAGTTTAGAAAATACAGTCTCACACAGCTTTGTTGGGTCGAAGTTCAGACAATTTTCTGAGAGAAGTTACCAGAACTAGTATGCTCTGCCGAAGGAAATGTTTTGCGCCGTTCACCACTTTGCGGTCATTTCTCACATCAGTTATGCCTCCCCCACAAGTGTAGCCCACACACTGGAGTGAAAACTGGATCATCGCGATAATACCTGCTTGTGTTTTTTTTTTCATAAAGAATAATGACATCTTTACAGGATGACCCTTACAGTGTTTGGAGGTTGTTCATACCAGCAAATGCATCTTGCTCCAAATGCCGTATGCTGTTATTACTTAGAGACCTGGTTCAAGACAGAAATAAAATATAATGCATTACAAATTGATTTCCTAGTCTGAAATGGCCTGAGGGAGGGAAGTGGGCATGTGGTTCCGGTTCTAGAGAGAAGTGATGCAAAAAAAAGAGGAGACTGAGATGTCACTTCAGGGCACAGCGTTAGTACTTCAAGTGTCGACTGCTATTTCACCAGGATGAGCGGGCGTTAAGGTTAGGAGGTTGGCTCGTGAGGAGTTGGCTTGTGAGGTGAATGCCTCGGGGTTTGAGCGGGGCAGGTTGCCCCATGCTGCCATCATTCACGCTGCTGACATCCGTGCCTACAACCCTCCATTCTCGTACAGAGAAATCACATGCCCATAAAGGCGAACCATTCTTAGAGCTGCCCAAGCAGAATCCAGGTTTGTTTCCACATAATGGCACAGACAAAAAGGAACGCCGTACAAATCCCTATGTGTGTTCTTTTCATCTCAAAGAAAGTGAACGTTTTACTTCTTTTACTTCACTGTCATCATTGCAGCACTTAGGAAATGATACATTCTAGAGTCTATTTGTTATCTGAACCACTATAATGCAATTAATTGGTTAATCAATCACCACGAGACGACACTAGGCCCAACATTGCAATAATATCTCTCAACTTGGTTTAACTAATTAAAATTGCAACGATGAGAGACAATCGAGAGTCAGAAGTCATTAATACATCTTGATGCGTTTAAAGGTTTCTCTGGCACTTGGGATAAACACACAATGAGTTTTGCAAGCCATTCAAAGTTCACTTTTTAGACACATTACCGTTTGGGCCATTAACTCCAACAACAATTTGGAATTTAACAATGCCTTGAAATATTGAAGTATTTGATGGGATTACACCCTAAAAACACCTGGGCCAGATCAGACTGACCCGGAATCTGGGCCCATGGGGCCTGACCCCTTTCTGGGTCAAATTATGACCCCCTCTTTTGGGTCATATTTGACCCTGTCTGGGTCAAATATGAGCTAAAACAGCTCATAATTTTACCCGGAAAAGGATCAGGCCCCATGGGACCCCTGAGCTTCCGGTCAGTCTGACCCGGGTGTTTTTAGAGTGTAGTGTACGAACACCAGAGTTGACAAGTATAGACAAGATCTTCATCTCAAAAGACTAATTGTAAATCCCTGCAGTTTACTTACAGTGTGATGGTACTTGTAAGACTGTGAAATATACCTCTTCTGATCTCAGTAAGTTTGTTGTCACGCAAGTTTCTAAAGATAAGACATATTCAAACACCGTCTGATGACTGTATTATGAATAACAATTGCATAATTCCGAAAACATACGGTAGATCTCAGTTGCATTGCTAGGGCTGTTGTATCACGTAGGCGCTCAAACAAATTCTTATCGTTGTGAAGTATTCTCCAGTGGTGCCACGACTTCCTTTTTTCATATTGCAAGTAAATAACTACACTGAAACCTATTGAAGCAATCAGATAAGAGAGTGGTGCAACTTGTAAACAAAGCAACACAGATGAAAAGATATCTTCAAAGCAGCTGCAGATGTCTAGCCTCTCATACCATCCAGACAGTATTCGAGATATAAGATAATGTCAACATGGCCACAAGAGATTGGGTTAGGGTCCAAAGCTCGTTTGAACTGTTGCTATACAAACAGAAGATATAGTCGTTTGCTTTGTACGAGACGTTACTCTCGTCGGATATCTCCCCACAAAAGGAAAATAATCGTTTTCTCTCTATACATTTCATTTTTCTCCGTCATCAGATCGTGTTGCTCTGAAAACACCATGCGTCCTTTTATGTTGGCGTTGTGCAGTGTAATTATGGGTATGCAAGCGAAAGTATAATTGCCTTCGCAAGTTGAAGTTTAATTTGTCTAAATGTATATTTAATGAATATGAATTCTTTGCAAATTCGTTTTTGGATAAAATTGGTTTTTGTTTTCAAAATAGCTTACCACCTCTCAGATATCTGTTCAGCTGCAGACGTTTCCCGAGAACAGGTAAGCAACAATCAAACATTCAGGTATTTATAAGTTTGTATTTATAAGTTTGTAGTGTGTGGGTGTCGCTCATCATCAGGGATGTCGAGTTTGACGATTCTTTACCAACTCTTTATAGCGGTTTCAATAAGGTGCAAGGTCGCACTTCAGAAAGCAGTACAGAAGGCATCGACATGAAGTAACTGGAATTAAAATTATCAATGAGTTGCATGTGTCTTTCGGCCTTAACAGAGTCAATCATTTTGCATTTGTGATGCACAACTTGGCATGACTGAGCTGAAATCTTGTCGCACTTTGAAAGATTCAAAAGCCATTTTGGGTCGGAAATATATCACCTTGATTGTATGTTTTACCACGATTTCTCTGAATGTCCCTTGTGTTGATCCATGTTGCGTATTTCTCCTATAGCTGCCCGGATTCTGCGCTAGATACAGAGCGCCAGCATGTACGTTTGAATACGACCCAGTATGTGGCAGCGATGGAGTCACCTATTCAAGTGTCTGCAGTTTATGCGCGGCTATGCTAAGAATGGGTCGGTCAGACATCAAATTTGTCAGGGGAAAATGTTACCGTTAAATAACAGAAGCGTTGCCTGTAGCAGCGTGGAGCTCAAATTCAGTCCAATTAAAGCTACTTTAGTCTAGGAAAAATAGTTTAATTCCAAGTCTAACATAACGTGAAATTTGGATTCAAATACAGTAAATTTACATGTAATTGGTACCGACGTCTGAGTAGATAGTTTTCAAATTAATCCCACTCAACAAAACTTCCTTATCTATAACAAAAATCAATAACGTATACTCACAATTCGATTAACTTGGTGTTAGTAGAAAATGCACCCGTTTCAATGACGCTGATGTCGTTACGATGAACGTCCCTTGAAGATAAAGAAATCGATTGAACTTTTTTAACAGTCATTTGAAGAAAGCTTCACTGCACTGACAAAAGCAGCAACATACGCTGCAATAATTAGAAAGGTAATTTTTAACTGTGAAGCCATCATGAATTTTTATTTCAATTGACAGTGGAGTATAACTTCCGGTGAAACATGTCATGCACCTATACCACCTACAATCGGAATGAATAGTGGTGGTAGGATGGAATGCCGATAAATGTGACAAGACAGATATGACCATGTAGGCCGAACAAAAAGAAACATAAGCATTAAACTTACAGCGTCCGAAGTTCTCGAAGCGGTCTGAGGAGATTTGCTGGTATAGACGACAATTTGTTTTGTGAGACAAGCCTGCAAAATAAGAGACATTAATATAATTTGCAAGACATTTTTAGCTTACAAAAAAGAATCACTATATTCATAAAAATTACAGACTTTGAACACAGGAATATAAATGTATTCGACTGAATAAATATTGGTCTTTTTTGTCTTGTCCCCAGCTTCAGTAGAAAGGAGTGAATTTTCAATCAAAAAATGGATTAAATGTTATTCTTTACGATGAAGTCTTGTGTAGATTCTGACATATTGAGGTTGTAAACTGAAACACATGGTACCGGGTGGAAAATGCCAAAGCACACGAAAGTGAACTTCAATTATGAATATTTCAGTGATTTGTATTTCTCACTTACATGAAGTAAAGCTTTGGCGTATCTTCAAACACTCCAGTCTCAATCTCCGACAGCTGATTCCCTCGAATATCACTAAGATTAATGCCAAATATTAATCTATGTATGAATATTATGTGAAATATTTAGTTGTGAAAATATACAAAAAGTCCAACCAAGAGCGACTATACCATTAAATACTATGCCCACAAAAGCGTTTCACAAATCAGCATAAAAACAAATCATTTAAAAATATATAAACAAGAACAATAACAAGCTACTTTGACGTTGTAATGAATCGTAACTTATAAAGAATATCGCCAAAATAAAGAAACCGAAGTCATTATTCAAATAAGTTTGGTGATTTCTAATGTCCTAGCCTGAAAATGATGAGGGTTCTTAATAGTAGATGTCACTCGTTACTACGCTGTCCTCTGGGAGGAGACAGTGACGAATATATCCGAATTAAGTGTCGGAGGAAAACCAGGGGGACCTCATTGAAAAGAAGACTCCACTTTCCATCACGAAAGGGGTCGAACGTCTAATCGACTGGCGTGTGCCAAGTCGATTTATGACTTGAACAGGAGTCTACGGGGAGTTAATGGCAGGGACAGTGTTGATGGGCCACCTGTACCGTCAGAATCCAAAGGAGAGATTTAACATTTCGTCGGTGGATGCTGCCGCTTTGAAGACAGAAAGTTCACCTTAATAAGGAGTGTTTACTTAGCCTTCTGGGGTCAATAAAAATATTCGAAAAGGGACAGCGGGGGCAAACACTTACAACTTGAACAGAAATAGGAAAAATACCAAGAATAGAAACATGGTTGTACATGTTGCAAGTCCGATCCCAATTTTCCAAATATCATAACAAAACATGTGCTTAATTGAAGATTCGATATTTTGGAAATCTTTTGTTGCTTTTTTTGTCTTTTTCATTATTATGAAAAATGTGCCTCCATAAGACCTCTCAATTTCTCACGAAGGTATTCGAACACTACGTGCATGTATAGTGTTTACAGTTTCAATACTCACAAATATTTCACGTTACGAAGGCCGAACAGACTATTCTTAACCAGCCTTGTCAGCTTATTGTAGCGCAGATCCCTGTAAAAGCAGATGGAAAGACAAATCTAAACTATACCAAATTATCTGTATAAAAAATTAAGTTTAAAACCTATTTTTAATACAACATCTCGTGTGGTACACACAAAAAAATGACGATAAAAAGTGATGCAGTGGGATTATTTGCAGTTTCGTTCCACGTCTTCATTTCCAAGGAAAGGAGGTATAAATTCAATTATACTTTAACTTACAGAGTAACTAGACGCTTTTGTGCCGCGAACATTCTTTGTTGCACATCTTCTAAATCACAGGCGATCATTCGTCTGAAATAAAAATGGTCATTGTCAGTTTTTGTCCTCTCTAAGTGTGTGTGTTACGGAGCGTCCACAGGTCTCCCTATTTGCAAACGTAGATGGTGGCCACATCATTTCAACTTTCTCATCACTGCATTAGAAATGACTGAAGTATACCAATAATATGTAGAGAGTTACGTTGCACAGTAGTAGAACCAGTGGATTACTTACAAGGTTTCCAAATCTGTCAGAGGTTTGAAAGCTCCCTCCTCCATTCTTTTCAGTTTGTTCCTGGATAATAACCTAACGAATGAATAACAACAAATGGAAGAAGGTAGTTTTAAGGAATGGATTCATCGAATACAAAAACACTACATGGTTGACAAAGGATATTCCTTTTCATAAACGAAGTCACTTAAATAGTGAAAACTAATCAAGAAATTTTGGCAACAGACCAGTATTTGTACGACGACTTGGTTCGTACAGTGCAAATACGCGAAAATTTTATTGTCTTACAGTTATGGTATAAGTGTGTTCTAACACTTTGCATAAAAAGAAACAATGAAACTGATCATAATTACTTCATACACACTTTCCGTGTTTCTATTCAATTGAGATCTACTCTTGAATGAATATGGTGCATCATTATGGATCTACTCATAACATCAGCGCAAATTAATAACTCCGTTTCATTGCCCGGGTCAAAGTAGGCCTACACTGTAAACAAAAGACAAAAAGACATAACTAAGAGTTCCCAGAGGTTTCTTGACGAGTAAAACAGGATGAGGCAGACAAATCAATCTTTTGAACGATTGAAATAATGATGCTGTGAATTCACAGGGGATAGTTTACTGGCTCAGGTTTCTGCCATTCTGAGGGGGGTATTGTGACTATCCCCAGCCGAAGCTACCAAGCCGCCACCAGAACGATTCCATGCCAAGACCTCAGCCGTACAGGCACAACAGCACTGGACAATGGTGGACTGTAGTCAGTACACCGATTGGGTGTACGATTTCATCGGAGTTTGCGGATACCGAAGGCTCCGGCTAGAGGGAATTGTTGAACAAGATATTACATTTCATTGCTCGCATCAGCCCGGTCCAGACAGAGCCAGTCCACCCCGCCAAAATTCTTTAAATGGATCTGAAAGTCGCGGGCATTGGTTTAGCAGCTTTTTAGTTGTTCAGTTGTCCAGCCTGCTATCTAAATACACAGTTCTTCCCAAAATGCAAAAATCAATATTACACAATTAGACATACTGTAACACTTTAGCTGCACGTAACTATATACTTACAGTTGACGCAATTGCGGAAGGTTTGTCAAATCTTTTTTGGTCAGGTGTGTTATTTTATTATCTGATAAATCTCTGAAAAAGATAGAAAAACAACCATTTTACTTCAGATATATGACATCATGTTTGATATTTTTTAATTCAAAAATTGAAAGTTTTAAAGTAGGCATGTTGAGTAGTATACATGATATCATGAGATAAGCAACTAGCAGATCGAAAACCCACCAAAATGCAAATACAGCGTTTGGTTGAAATCCATCCGGAAAATTGAATAATTGGACGTGCTTTTATACGGAAAGCCGCCGCTGTAATAAAAGACGATAGGAAGAGGGTATTGTGGACAATGAAGTATTCATCGCCTCTGAAAGCGTGATTCATTGATCATACGAACAAAGCTAGAGTGGACCACGGAAATTCAGGTGCTCCCTATATTTCGCTGAAAGTTATCACGGACTACTTCTGAATTTGGAGGAGAAATATGTTGGTTGTTGGGGAGGCAGACGACAAGACTCTAAAAACCTCGTAAATAGCGAAAATGAGCTGTGATGTAAACTGGACAGCAAAAGAAACTTGCCACTTCTGTCAAAGGCCACACATAAAAATTCACTCCATAGAAATAAACAATTTTGTACACAAGTATGGTGCAATACCCCTTACTAATCACATGCCCAAAAGCAAGTGATTTTCTTTATAACGAATAAATTGACATGCACAGCAACTTGTAATTGGTTACTGAATCAAAAGTCACAGAATGTAACAGAATGAGCCGTAAGTTATACGCAGAAATCAATTTCACAGGACGAAATAAAGAAGTCACAATCATTACTTTTCAATAATGTGTATGCATAGTCAGTAAGGACGGCATCCCTATACAAAAACGACTCATGCACATCATTTTGACAAAACACGTGTTCACTTTGTCATTGGTTGTTTAAAATGTTGTCCATTCACGGGTCATTTTTGCTTGGTGGAGAGTGCTTTTGTGTGTGACTTTTGATTCAGTAACCAAGTTGCTGTGCGTGACAATTTCTTCTTTGTTATAAAGATAATCACTTGCTTTGGGGGATGTGATTCGTAAGGGGTATAGCAGCATACCTGTGTACAAAAATTGTTTATTTTTATGGGATGATTTTTTTTGTGTGGCCTTTGACAGAAGTGGCAAGTTTCTGTTCCTGTCCAGTGTATATACAGAGGGCGTTGTGACGATAAGCTTCTATATTATGGCCTCTCATACATGTACTGATGCTGTTGAATGTGCATCAGTTCCTAAACAGAACTCATTTGAGCTCCTTTGGGCCACATTATGTCAACATTGTGTGTTTCGGCCTCGGGCATACGGGGACACTACATTATTCCGTGTTCCACTCGCGCTCGTGTGGTAACGAATTTTTCTTCAAGCAAACTTGACACGATGTACTTTTTTGCGTTGGGGAGATGTTAATTTATATAACGGGTTTTTGCCCTTACCCAACGTATATTAATAAGCACAGTATGGTCAGTGCTTCTCCGAGAGCTTGCGAA